AGCGAGAGTCAAATGTTGGAAACCTGCCGCCGTCCATCCTTGAAGCTGCTGCAAACTCTTAAGACGAAGGCTGAAGACAGAACAGCACTTCGAAAACGACCTGCCCTCAACCCCTGAACCTGCTGCAGTGTCCAAGCGTCAGGACCACCCATGGCGAGGAAGGCTTCGGCCAAACGCCCGGCCCGCCCTGCCGCTACGCCTGGGGGCGCGACGGGGAGGAGTTACACATTGTCCATTTCTAATTCTCAGAATGTTCTTTGCTTCTTCGGGGGCCAAGATCCTTTCATCTCTAATGGTTCTATCCTGGGCCTCTCTTCCTGGCCACCAGGGGGCCAGGAACGGTTAGACACGAGCACAGTTAGAAATGCGCACGATTAGAAATGAACGACGCGTACAGAGAGGAGGACAGGGAGGACGAGGAGGACAGGGAGGAGGAGGACGACGACGACGAGGACGAGGACGAGGACTAAGGACTGGGCACAGAGGAGCACGAGGAGGATAGGGCGGAGGCCGCACGGCGGCGCCACCTGCGTGCCCGCGGGCCCCCCCGAACGCGCGAGACCGGCCGCGCGCGCCCGGCCCCGCCGCGGCACCCGCGGGGCGCCCCCCTTCGGCCGCCGAGGAGATGCGCGGCCACGCGGCCGCCGTGGAGTCGCTGGCGGTGCTGCCTGGCGCGGCCCCGCCCGCGCGCGCGCGTGCCAGCCGGCCTGGGGAAAGGGGCTTTGGCGGAAGGTCGCGGGCGATGGGCGCAGCGTCGGGCGCCCGATAGCGAGTGCAGGGGCCCCGCAGACGTTGGCGGCGATCCCCGTTCGGAAATGTGTCAACCTCGCCTCGGGGGTCGCTGGCGGTGCTGCCTGGCGCGGCCCCGCCCCGCGCGCGCGTGCGGCCGCGGGTGCTGCGCCTCGGCGTGCCACGGTGGGGAGAGCGCGTCGAGGACTGCGCCCGGGAGGCCCCGGGAGCCGGAGGATTCCTCCTCCGAGGAGCGGCGGTGAGATCCATGGCCAATCCACGATTGGACCTGGCCAATCCACGATTGGACCTCCACCAGCTTCCTAATCTAATGCCCTCACCGTGCTGCGCCTTGGTGTGCTACCAGGCGGGGCTAGGACTGGGATAAAGTGTTCCAGGGCGTTCCGGAGCCCTGGCTCGTCCCCACGGCTGGATTCTCTTCGAAGTTTTGGTCAGAACGCACCCTTGGAGAGGTCCAGGAAGCGGCGTTATCGGTTTTGTAGCATGTTTGCTCCCGTAGGTCGGGGGCGTCCACGAAGGTGGTGAGGACTGTATGCCCTAACTCCAGAGATCCGTCGTGCTTCTTGGGGTATACCGCAAGTGGGGCAGAAGCTTCCGCCCTACCTTTCGGGCTTATTTGATGCCGATTTCCACCCTACTTTGCCGTCTCGGCTTCCGCCATACCCTTGCGGAAATATCCACCCGATTTTTCAGAGGTTGAAATTTCAGCATGTTTGTTTCGCATCGTTGGGGCGCATTTGCGACACATGTTTAATCAGGGAAATCAGCCAAAGTACGGCGGATCTGGAGTCTGGGAACGCTCTCACAGCATTCTGGAACGCTCTGGAAAGGCCGCGGCGCCCGATATATCCCAGAACCGCCAGATTTCAGAGATCCTCGATTTCTCCTTCTTGGGTTACCCGATCCTCGCTTCGTCTTATATCACCGATCTCAACACATGTTTGCTGGCGTCACGTTTCGGACGCTGGGCCCCCTTCAGGGCCAGAAGCGGCCGTGGTGACCCCGCGCGAGCGCGTGCTGTGTACCGCGCGGGCAATGCAGCTAGGATGTCAAGATCAAGAGGTTGAAGAGACGTGGTTGAGAAATCGCATCGGGCCGGCTGCCTCCGCGGTTGCCTTTGCAATGGGTGTGGCTCGCTGGTTCGTCTGGGTGCGATGCGAGCGCCGAGGTGCTTCAGTTGAAGCAGAAGCACTCAGCATGAACATGCAAAATCTGAGTTCCGCACGCATTCGGGGGGGCGTTGCTGGGCCCGCGTGGCGGCGATTTCGGCGCCACCCCTTACAGACAGTCAGGTAACTTGGTACGATTGGAGAACTCGGTCCGAAGTTTCACATCGCGCGAAGGCGCCAGACTGCCGGTCCAGCCAGGCCAGGGGCCGTCGGCCCAGCCAGCCTGGGGAAAGGGGGTCTGGCGGAAGGTCGCGGGCGACGGGCGCAGCGTCGGGCGCCCGAGAACGAGTGCAGGGGCCCCGCAGACGCTGGCGACGATCCCCGCTCGGGAGTGTCAACGTCGCCTCGGGGGTCGGATCCGGGTACGGATCCGCCACGGATCCCGTGCGGATCCGAAGCTTCTTGGGGAGGGATCCTTTGCGAATTCGATGCGTTCGCGGCGGACCCGAGCGGTGGGAAAGCAGCGCGCTCGGGACGGGTCCTGTCGGACCACTGCGCCCCTGTATAGCACTCATAGGTGGCAGCGAAAGACCCCGAGGACGACTTGCGCAGGGCACGTTGCTGGCGCGACAGGCGGGGCGGCGCCTTCTAGAATTCGCTTCGGGCGTTTATGCTAAGGCTTTCCTCTGGCGGCTCTCTCTGGAGCTTCACTGAACTGCTCCTGCCAGAACCTTCCTCCGGCGGCCCCCTCTAGCACTTTGCTGAGCTGCCCCTCTGGCTTTCGACTCTTTTGCCGTCGCGCGTGCTGATCGATCGCTGGACCTCCCCGGCGTCGTCGTCGTCGTGCCGCCGCCGCCGCCGCGGCGGTCGGAGGCCCCTCGCGCCGAAGAGTCGACTCGGGTATAGCCAGCCCTGACTCCAGATCCGCCCTACTTTGGCTTTTTTTCCAACTTAAAATTGCGTCGGAACTCCACCTATAAGGAGCCGAAAAAGTAGGGCGGAAATTTCTGCACCCAACATATAATAGGGCGAAAATCCACAGAAGTAGGGCGGAAACAACAACGGAAAAGTAGGGCGGAAATTGGCATCAGCGGGGCTTGAAAAGTAAGGCGGAAATTCCAAGCCCTACTTACGAATTTCCCGAAAGTAGGGCGGATCCGGAGTCAGGGAGGACCCCGGGTAAGGGGACCCGGTCAGTGGTAGGGCCCCGGGGCCCCTCCACTGGCCGGATTCACTGAACCAGGCCTGCCGTAACTGGTGTTTTTCGGGTGACGGCAGCTCCTGTTGGTGGACATGGGACGGCCCCGGCACAAATCAACAAACCGGGTTCCACTGAACCCCGTTCTGCCAACGCCCGATCGACGGCCTCGGCCCACCTGCGCGCAGCAGCCCCTCCCCCAGCTCGACCGCGGCAGCTCCCGACCGCGCCTGGGCGCGCCGGCGCCCGTGCACCCTCTCCTCCTCCTCCTCCTCCTCCTCCTCCTCCTCCTCCTCCTCCTCCTCCTCCTCCTCCTCCTCCTCCTCCTCCTGCTCCTCCTCCTCCTCCTCTCCCTCCTCTCCTCTCCTCCTCCTCCTCCTCCTCCTCCCCTCCTCCTCCTCCTCCTCCTCCCTCCTCCTCCTCCTCCTCCTCCCCCTCCCCCTCCCCGCCTCCCGTTGATTCGGTCACGCGTTGATTCGGCCACGCGTTGATTCGGTCACGCGTCCCGTCCCGGCAAATCGTACCATTTTCACCGGACTGTCTGCAGCGCGCTCCGCGCTCGCCGGGGAGCGGTGCCCAGCGCCGATCCAGGAACTCCGCGCGGAGCTCCGAGGGTTGATGCCCGTACCGCTTGTTCCACAAGCAGTGCTTGCCTTTCGGGGTGCTTATTTTCTCTTCTACGGATTTGGGCCTGTGTGTCGGTCTGGCTGGCTTGTGGCCGCCTGTCGCCACCGCTTTGGGGCACGATTTCGAGTGTGAGAGGCTCGCATTTTGCATTGCTTTGCATTGCTTTGCATAGCTTTGCATTGCTTTGCATTGCTTTGCATTGCTTTGCATTGCTTTGCATTGCGTTGCTGTGCACTTGTTTGCATCGCTTTGCGTTGCATTGCCTTGTATTGCTTCACATTGTTTTGCATTGTTTCGCATTGTCTTGCATTGATTTGCGTGCTCTGGATTGCATTGAATGCGCTGCGTTGCTTCGCATGGCTTAGCAATGCTGCGCATTGCTTTGCATGTTTTGCATTGCGTTGCATCGCGTTTCATTGCCTTGCGTTGCTTTGAGTTGCCGTCTATGGGTTGCGCCACCTAGATTGCACCACGTGGGTCGCACCAGCACTACGTTGATTGCGCCACCCAGATTGCACCGCATGTACTGTAGGAAATCACTGTTTGGGGTCCACGCTGGCCGAAGTCTCTTCTTGCAGTGGGAGCGCAATAAACGTTGAGATTTTTCCGCGATGGGAAGGTAGCGGGGCACCAGCAGAGCGACGACTTCGTGCGCTTGACGGCAGCAGGGAGGCACCGACATCGGGGCGGCTGCGAGGCCCCGCCTGTGATCCGATGCGATTCGAGTCGCGCCGCTTCACCGGCACTGGCTGGGGCCAGCCGGAGCTGGGCGCGGCGATTGATCGGACTTCGATTCGACTCTGGACGCTTCGCTGGCGATGCGATCCATCTCTGACCCGACCCGCTGTCATGATTCAGGAGGAAAAGAAACACACAGACACAATTAATCTTCGATTCCCCAGAAAATATAGGAAAATATGGGAAGTGGGGGGGAAGACAGAAACCCAGAAAATATAGGAAAATATGGGGAATCCTTTTATTTGTGTGTATTTATTTGTGTGTCCCAGGGCCCCTTCAATGATTCGATCGGGCTCAGGCCTGCAGCTGCCTTCGAGCAAGGCCGTCGGCAGAGCGGCGACGACCGGTGCATGGCCGATGCATCGGCGATGCGTTGGCGATGCCGCGCGATCCTCCTACCCCAGCTACTCTGACCTGCTTTCGGGGGTGGAAAAGAGGGGGGTGATGACTAGGGGGGGGGATATCGTGGCGTGGGCCATGATATTTCCCCAGATTTCCTGGCGCCTCTTCTTATTTCGTTACGTCCCTGGCCCCCCCGCTGGGCCGCGCACATGCCGCCGGTCATGATTTGCACCCCCCCCCTCTTGGACACCCCCCTCTTGGCCGCTCCCGATGATTTGGGAGGCCTCTTATCAATGCGGCCCGCGCGGGTGAAGCCTGTCGAACCAGTCGAGTCGAGCGAGGCCAGTCTAGTCCGGTCCCCGCTCCAGCCAAGTCCCGTCCAGCAGGCAGCGACGATGAGGCAGTTCTGAGGCGGCCAGTCGGCCAATCGGATCCGATCGGGCCGCCATTGGGTGTCGGACAGACAACGATATGGGTCGGCCAGCCAGTCAGCCAGCTGCTCGCTCACTCACTCAGCCCTTCGATCGCCAGCTGGCTGGCCGCTCCACCGATCGGCATGTCGTCGCGCCCGTCAGTCGGCGGACCGGCCGCGAAGGCGACATCCTCGCCAGCGCCTCCGCCGACGGCACCGTGCGTCTCTGGGACAGCCGCCTGTCGCGCCAGGGCCCGCCACGAGCCCAGGCCCCCTCTGTCGACTAGACGTGAGATGATCCTTCGCCGGAGTGGCCTGTGGTGCGGGCTCCTCCGGGTCCCCCCGATCGCCGAGCGCGACGCGATAGCGGCTGATTGCGCGCTCGGATTTGGCCACCTTGCACCCCCCGGCGTCCGCGCACCAAGGGTCACTCTTGCGTGTAGCCGACCTTGGTCCACCTCCCCGCCCTGACGAGCGGCACTCCCCGCGGGCTGCGGCGCGGGCGTGGGAGGGAGGCGCCGGGAGAGTCGCCCGCGCAGGGGCCCGCCCGCCTCACCCGCCCATCGGTCACGGATTCGGCTCCCCAGCTTCAGACTCAGGGGCGAAAAAAGGACGTACATGTACATGAATCCACGCTGGTTTCGAGAGTACGCATTGCGCAAATGGTCGTATAACGCGGCCGGTCTCGCGGATCGAGGGGCCGTGTTCATGTACATAGCTGGGCGCGTACGTCCTTCATGGGCTCCCTACAGACGGGGGAACCGAAACGGGTACGGAAATCATGGGTACAAGGCCCAACAGCAGCTGTTGTTCGGATTCGCTGCAGGCGTCGCGGCGCTTGTGGTTCCTTTGAGGCACAAGCTCGCCTGGCCAAAGCGGCCGCTGTCGGTTTTAGGCAACATCTGTTCTGGGGCATCGTGCCCACTTTTTCCGTTCCCCATTCGGGCGTCCAAATAGAAGCGCTGGTGACGTTCTCGCTCGTTTTCGAGACCGACGTTTCTGTTGCCCCCGTTTCGGGGCATGCTCTGTCCGTTTAGGCGGATCCTCGTGCGCGCAGCTTGCGCCTCGATTCCGCGCTGCCCTGCCGCTCTTCCATGTTTTCTGGGCCGCCGTTGCTTTTATCCTGCCTGGGCCGCCGTTGCTTTTATCCTGCCTGGCCGCTCCGACAGACTGAAGGCTGAGCGCGGGGAAAACTTCCCCCGGCGTCTTCCGCATCGGCGGTCGCCCTGCCGGCGTGCGCCGGCGCGCGCCTCCGCGCCGTGGCGCGGCGCGGAGGCCTCGGCGCGCGCGCGCGCTCTGCGCGCCGCTGTTTCCCCCGAGCCCCCTTCCCGCTCCTCCTCCTCCTCGCCTCCCGCCCTCCCGCGCGTCGTGGGTGTGCTGCAGTCGAGCCGAGGTATATAAGGTCGAGGTCGCTTCGGGGAGGGTGCCCTGAGGTTCTCCGTGTCCGTTGGGTGCTCCTGTCTTGGCGTCGCTCGGACGTGTGCATTTTTTCTCGGCGTGGGCCATTGAGGAGCAGTTTTGATCATTTGGCGAAACATGCACGCACGAAATCGAAAAATGCACGGGGAATGGGCGTCCGAGCGATGGCGAGTTGTGTGATCTCTGGTGCATCCTGTGGGGAGGGTGCCCTCGGATGTTCTGTGTGTGTTCTGGCCGGCGGATGGCCTCCTCATGTTCTTGAAGGATGCTCTTCTGTCCCAGGTCCGACTGTACCGGGCGGGGCCAGGACTGGGATGCGTCGTTCCAGGGCGTTCTGGAGCCCCTGACTCGTCCCCAGGGCGGGATTCTCTTTAAAATTCTGGCGCGCCCCTGGAGAGGTCCGGGGAGTGGCGGTATCGGCACATCTTTCCCCCCCCCAGGTCGGGGGCGTCCACGAGGGTGGTGAGGACTATGTGCCCTGGTTCCAGACCCGCCGTACTTTGGTCGATTTCGCAACTGTTCAAGCCCCCTTGATCTCGATTCACGCCCTACCTTGCCGTCGCTGTTTCCGCACCTTTGCGGCAGTTCGGTGGCGAGCCCGGGGGTGAAGTGAGCAGGGGCGGGCCTTCTCAGAAGGCTTGGAAGTCCCCGGGCCTTCTGAGCAATTTTCTAAGATTTCCCCGAAGACAAAGGGAGCTTCTCAGAAGGCGCGAGGGCTTCTGAGGAATCCCGCCGCCTTCTGAGAAGGCCCTCTCCCTCTCGCTCCCCCCCTCGCTCGCCGCCGAGAACTGTCCGCCCCACTCCCTCTGAGGCGGAAGGTTCCGCCCCACTTCCCCTCTCCCTCCCCCCCCGGGCGGCGCGCCCGTGCCCCTGGTCGATCCTGGCGATCGGGCCCTGCCTCGCCGGGGCGGGGGCGGCGATGTCAGCTCGGGCTCCGTCACGTTCCCAGACCCCCTCGCGCTGTGAAACAAATTGCGACGGGAGGTTTTTCGCTACTTTCGGCCTCCAGGGGCCCTTACAAGGCCTCGGGACCGTCAAAGAGCGACTCAGGATAGGAAAAAGGGGCCAGACCTCCTGGGGGTCGACGAGGCGGAAAAATCGCTACGTCGGGGGTCTGGGTCTGTTTCAGGAGCGACAGAAGGACGTACACGTGCACGAACCCACGTCGGTTTCGAGAGTACGCACCGCGCGAGTCTTCGTGTCACGCCGCCGGTCTCGCGCATCGAGGGGCCGTGCTCCTGCACATGGTCGGGTGCGCACGTCCTCTGTGGGTCTCCCATGTTGGCGCCTCGCTCAGGGGGGGGAGGCAGAGGAGCCCCCACAGGCGGGCTCGTTCCCTGGGGAAAGGTCACGGCGCCCGACGACGGCGGCGGTGGCGGTAACCGCCGCCGCAGGACGCCGCCCGCAGCTGCGAGCCGTCGTGGCTGTGGAGCGCACCGGGCAAGGGCCCCCTGGCCAGCGCGGCCGCCGCCTCGGCGCCGCGAGAGGAGGGAGGAGGAGGAGGAGGAGGAGGAGGAGGAGGAGGAGGAGGAGGAGGAGGAGGAGGAGGAGGGAGGAGGTGAAGAGAGGAGGGAAGGGAGGAGGAGGAGGAGGAGGAAGGAGGAGGAGGAGGGAGGAAGAGGAGGAAGGAGGGAAGGAGGAGGAGGAGGATGATGAGGGGAGGAGGAGGAGGGGGAGAAGAGGAGGAGGAGGAAGGAGGAAGGAGGAGGAGGAGGAGGAGGAGAGGAGGAGGAGGAGGAGGAGGAGGAGGAGGAGGAGGGGGGAGGGGGAGGAGGAGGAGGAGGAGAGGAGGAGGAGGAGGAGGAGGAGGAGGAGGAGGAGGAGGAGGAGGAGGAGGAGGAGGAGGAGGAGGAGGAGGAGGAGAAGGAGAGGAGGAGGAGGAGGAGGCGGAGGCGGAGGCGGAGGAGGAGGAGGAGGAGGAGGAGGAGGAGGAGGAGGAGGAGGAGGAGGAGCAACAGCAGGGGGTGATGAAGAACCGACGGGAAGGGGGGAGGAGGAGGAGGAGGAGGAGGAGGAGGAGGAGGAGGAGGAGGAGGAGGAGGAGGGGGAAGAAGAGTAGCTTGAGGAACGAAGAAGCATCTGTCGTGCGAGAATTTAGCCCCGCAGGTTGACAATGTCAGCCTGTCGGAGGTCGTGGTCTCGTCCGCCTCTGGAGATCTCTGTCTGAAGGCATCCGTGAGCCGCCGTCGCCCGCTGACCATAGCGCCACGGCCTGCCAAACGAATCGGGCTCCGTGCAGTCGTCGTCGCCGTGGCCGCCGCCGCCGCCAGAAGCAGCGACGGCAAAGTATGGCGGATAAACGGTGAAAAGTAGGGCGGACTGTTCCGCCCTCTTTGCGACATCGCCCAAAAGGTTCGGCGGATCTGGAGTCAGGGGGGAGAAGTTCTCAACGTGCCCGTGCCCGGGACAGGCCGCGCCGTGCCAGCAGGCAGGCCCGCGCTGCCGGCCTCAGCACGTCGCCACCGCCGTCGCCGTCGGAGCCTTCGCCGCCGCCGCCGTCGGCGGGCGGCGCCAGAGGGCCCAATCTGCCATACTTTGGGACTTCGGGTTTCTTCTTCGATGTCCGGAGGTTGTTTCGGAAATGCACCCCAAACGATGCGGAAAAGCACGGCGGACAGTTCCGCCTCGGGACAGTCAGCAGGGTGGAGACTTCCGCAAACGTGCGGCGGAAGCAACGACGGCAAGGCAGGGCGATCTGATGCCCAGCTGCTGGCCGCAGGAGCCCCTCACGCAGATCGGTTCGGCTCGAGAAGCGTTACCGAAAGGTGGGGTCCAGGGCTCCCGTCGCTACTCCGCACGATGTTGCATTTTCGTGTGCGACGTCGACCTCAGGGGCGGCGGCGACGGAAACAACGACGCCGGGGCCATCTCTGGAGCCGCCCGCCGACAGCGGCAACGGCGGCGCAGAGGCCTGCGCCGGCGGAGGCAGCAGTGGCGACCTGCTGGGGCTCGCCGCGCGCGCCCGCCTGCTGGCACGGCGCGGCCTGTCCCGGGGCGCGCTGCTCGCCCGTTCACAGACACGTTGAGGAGCGCTCGCGGCCGCGGGCTCGTCAGATCCAGAGTCGCCGTCGACGCCGTTGGCCGCGGGACGCCGTCGACGCCGTCGGCCGCGCCGACGCCGTCAGCCGCGGGACGCCGAGGAGGAAGAGGAGGAGGAGGGACCGGAAGGCTCAAGAACGGTCAAGCCATGTTCCAACCACGTGTCCCACCCGATGTTGCCGCAATTGCTCCTCCTGCGATTGCGCGGCCGCGCGAGTGTACGGTTGATGATCGTGAAAAGGTTTCAGCTGAACCTCACTCTCCAGCAAAATTGAGCCGTCCTCGCAAGAGGCGTCGAATCATGCAGCTGTTGGCAGCCAGCAGGGCAACTTCCTCGGCCACGGCAGGCACGGGCGAGTGCTTGCA